TGGGGTTTCACCATGTTGGCCAGGCTGGTCTCGAACCCCTGACCTCAGGTGATCCACCTACCTCGGCCTCCCAAAGTGCTGGGATTACAGGCATGAGCCACTGTGCCCTGCCAACAGGTATATTAAGAATTCGTTTAATTGCTACAGACAAGGCCTCCAATTAGATCTTTAATCCAAAAAAGCAGTTCTGCTGGCAATTCTAGGAAGAAGGGGAGATATTTTAGACAGATTGGGTTTTTCTGGTCACCTCCTACCACACAGCGAAGTTGATCCCTGAGTATGAAGAGAGGTGCCTTGAAGCCAGGGATCTCAGATCCAGGGGTCTTAGTTAGTGGTATCTGCAAAAGGGGCATAAATGCACCCTAGAACTCACTGTCAGATCCAAGGCAGGTTTACTGCCAAACCAAAGGGTTGGATGGAATGAGAATATGAATGTACTGCAACATTAATTTACGGTGTTCTTTATTTTACATGTTCCTGTCTCTATAATTACAGAGCTGACTTTAGATCATACTGGTATAATGGTGGGGAACAACACACACTGGGGCCTATCGGAGGGTGGAGGGTGGAAGGAGGGAGAGGATCAGGAAAAATAACTAATGGATACTAGGCTTAATACCTGGGTGAGGAAATAACCTGTATAACAAACCCCCATGATGCATGGTTATCTATGTAGCAAACCTGCACATCCTGCACATGTACCCCTGAACTTAAAAGTTAAAAAAAAATCTAAAGAAGGGATCATACTGGTATAGTAATAAATTGAGGAAGTTAGAATAGCAGCGAAGGAAGGGCTAAAAGATGCTCTGAATTCAAATCTTGATAACTTAGTTATTTTGCTAATGGCGACGTAGAAAAATGGCAAATTTAAAATGGTGGACAAATATCCGGATAACAAATGAAAATGTCTTACCTTTACTTGGTATCATGAAGATACAGTCAAAATACATACTATAATTTTCTTAAAACCCACCTAATTGTCTGCTACAGAGTAACATTTTTTCTACTTCAAGACAAAAATTCTAGCATATGCAACACATCTGATGTTTTCAAAACAGTCCCGTTTGTTTGCTTATTCTTGGCATAGTTTCTTAAGTGTCTACTCATTTTAGTTGTTATATGAGGTGGTAGGGATATAGACCAATAAGATATGTCAGCTGTCCCCAAGCCTCTTACAGTCAAGCTGAGGTGACAGGTAAGTAACCAGATACTGCTGTATAGGGGGATGCATGAATGCAGGATCTGTGAAGCTAAGCAGGACACAAAGGGGGTGTAATTACAGGTGAGACTGGGTCAGCGAGCCGGTGCTCTGGTAGCAATGGAAGACAGTTCAGAATAGGGCTGGAGAGAACTGGAGACCATTTCAATAATCCAGTGCAGTGAGGCTGGTGGGGTATTTGCGAAATGTGTAATACACTTGGCATAACTCTGTGGCAGATTGGATGTGGGAGGTGAGAGACTAACCTACAACAGCCAAATTCTGTGCCAGCGTTTACTCTCAACATTTGTTTGATTAAATTTTATTCGTTTTGTTTTTTTGTTTTTTGGTTTTTTTTGAGACAGAGTTGGGCTGGAGTGCAGCAGCATGATCTCAGCTCACTGCTACCTCTGACTTCCAGGTTCAAGCTATTCTCCTGCCTCAGTCTTGCAAGTAGCTGGGACTGCAGGTACCTGCCACCATGCCCGGCTAATTTTTGTATTTTTAGTAGAGACAGAGTTTTGCCAAGTTGGTCCGGCTGGTCTCAAACTCCTGACCTCAAGTGATCCACCTGCTACAGCTTCCAAAAGTGCTGGGATTACAGGCGTGAGCCACCGCACCTGGCCTAAATTTGATTCTTAACATGGTGAACCTAATGAAGTGTATTCGATTTTCAGGAAAAGAGTTTGTACACAGTAACTGTACCTCTGACTTTCTCTTCCGTATTCTTGTGTAGCATTTATTTGTCACATTCTGCTGTGATTATTTGTTGATCTATTGGCCTTCCCCAAAGTAACCAGACTTTGAACTTGTGGAGGGCAGAGACCTTGTCTTATTCTGATGTTTATCCCATTTGCCCAAGGTCTCAATAAATGTTCAAATTTTAAGGCCTTTTTTATATTTCAAAAGTACAAACTGAAAAGAGTGAATTGCATTTTTATGGAGGAAGGAGAAAGAAAGAGATGAGAATCATAGTAAATATTAACACCACCTCTGCATTCAGCTAAAATTCAGCTTTAGATATAAAAATACGGAAAAATAACCAGAGTCAAGAGCTCTCTCTGCCAAAACAGTGTTTATGTTTAACAGAGTTCACACAGCTGGGATCCAGTTGCCTGCCCTCCAAGAGCACAGTAAAAAGAAGATGCTGTAGCTATGGTGGCCTGGTCTTTAGCCTCTAGTTAAATCCCTTCTAATGGACCTTCTTGCACTGCAGAGGAAAGAAAACTAACCACATTGCCAGACTCCTTTGCAGCTAGGATCTTGATAAGAACTAGGTTCCCCAATCAGATGCACCAGCGTGAGTCTGGGAAGGTGGAAACATAGCAAGTATGGCAGTAGTACAGCATTCTAGTGTCTTGTGAGGGGCAGCTGAGGTTGCCATGGCAGCCTCCTTCTCCCTGTATGGCAGCTGTGTGCTGTATTCCCCAAGCCAGCAGTTTAATAATGGCTTCTCTTAGTTGTGGCAAAGGGTGCAGCCCCAGCTGGCCAATTCAGTCATGTTTTTCTAGGGGTCATTCCTGGAAGCCCAATGCAAAGTTTTATGTACCCATTTCTCAATATTAAACTCCTTTCTGCTTAGCCAGAGTAGTTTGTACTTCTGCAGCTGAACTGGACATAGGGGATAAATTCAGAATAACCCCCTCCCTAGTCATGCCATTCTATGGAGATTGAGAAATCATTCAAGCCCTATTTGGCCTCCCGTGTTTGATTCTATACTGTTAACAGGACTGTCCTGGGAGGCTCTGTGGGAAGATCCTCACATGTCTGCTTTAATTTCTGCTTGCTTTTATTAGATCCAGGAATGACCCAGGTAAGGACAAAGACTCCTGTAACCAAGATTAAATTAGCTTACCTCTTACTCTTTGTTGCCTTCATGGCCTTCCAGCCTCCTGGAAAATGACTGGAGAAAATAGTGTATCAAGCAACGTGGCCAAAATACGGTCGGCGTCTCTTTGTTCCTTGGTGTCCTAGGAAGCTTGCTCCTGACACCTCGGGTTGGTCACTTGGTGTGGGAAGTAAGCAAAGGAGAAATAGCAGATGCCAGACACTAGAACAGAAGCAGTTTCTCTCCAAAACCTGTCCCCCTCCTTCTGTAGGATTAGAGTTGGAGCCGGACACATGGGCATTCACTTCCCTTGCATCAAGGCAGAGCCATGTGGCTAAACTCTCATGCAGAAAATGTAAATGTCAATGAGATGGGCCACTTCTAGGTCTGCCATATTTTGTTTCCTCGTCATCTGAGACAGAGTATGAATATGACTCTGATCCAGTTTCCTCCCCATGCTGAAGAGGGCAGTACCCTAGGGCTGAGTTGGCAAACGCTTTCTGTAAAGGGCCAGTAAATATTTTCGGCCTTGGGGGCTATACAGTCTCAGTGGTAACTACTCAACTCTGCTAGTATACTCCACTCTGCTAAAGTGGAAAAGTGGCCATTAGACAATATATAAATCAATGGGCAGGGTTTTTACAAAAGAAGACTGTTTTTACAAAAACAGGTGATGTGCCAGGTTTGGTCTGTGGGCTGTCATGTGCTGACCCCTGCCATAGGGAATGGCAAAGTGATAAGAAGAAAAGACTGTGCACTTTGGTGCACACTCTGTAAAAAAGAGGCCCCCCACAAACAGTGACTTTAAAGTAGTTTCCTTTTCATCTGTAAGAGGAAAGCCACTGTTTGTGGGGGCCTCTTTTGTACACAGCTTAGCTTCACCCTACCCCCAACACGCAGCCCAGTAAGCTGCCTCTGTACCCCTCTTGATGTCTCCCTTGGATTCAGGAACTGAGGGGGTTATATTGATTTCACAGAACAGATGACACTAGTTAGAAGGGGCATCTGAGGCTTTTCTCGCTGATCCATTCATTGCTTTGTGTCCAGCTCTGAGCAGGCCTGAAATGAACTGGCCTATTATCAAAAAAAAGGTTGCATCTTCTGTTAATGCAGCCCAGAAAAGAGGGATAAGGACTGCTGTGTGGGGCTGGAAGGGTGGGTGGTTTGCAGCAGTCAGGGAGGGCATCTTTGAAAAGATGACGTTTGACCAAAGCCCTGAAGGCAGTGAGGAGATGACCCCAAGGGCACCTGGGGGAGATGTGGTTTAGACACAGTGAGATGGGAAAAGTTTCCTTATCCCCCTTGCAGGGTATGTGATGGGGTGTGGCTCACTTCTTCAGTGCCCTGCAGCTTAAACCCCTAGTGGGGAGCATGCAGATGGGCAGCATCTAGGGGTGAGTGTTTCCAGCTCCCAAAGCCCCAGTGGGCATGTGTTCCGGTGTGCTCTTTCAGCCTAGCTGTTCACTGGCAGCTTGTGTTGATCAGCTCAGTTAGACCCTCTGCCTTATTGAAAGGACAGAGGGTTTTCTGTATCCCAGGGTTCTTGCCAGTGTACTGGAAAAAATGGATCACAGGTGAGCTTGGAGAATGAGTGCAAGATTTTATTGAGCGCTGGATGTAGCTCTCAGCAGGTAGAGCAGATGGATGGGGAGCCAGAGGGGGATGGAGTGGGAAGGTGGTCTTCCCCTGGAGTCGGGTGGCTCAGCAGCCAGATTGTCCTCTGACCACCCCCTGGCCAAATTCCACGTATGTGTCATTCTGTCTCTGCCGTCTATGGCCTGCTGGAGTCTATCTGTGTGTTCTTCTGCCGTTGTGTGTTCCTCTCGACTTCCAGCCACTTGTGTTTGTGTTTGCTAGGTTCTTGAGGTTTTTATAGGCACAGGACGGTGGGCCAGGGTGGTCTTGGAAAATGCAGCATTGGGTGCAAAAACAGGAGTGCCTGTCCTCACCTAGGTCTGTGGGCACAAGCCCAAGGTGAAACCCTTGCCAGCAACCCCACCCTTCCCTGGCCCCCTCCTGTTTCAAAAGGAAACTGCACCCCATGGCTAACTGCTCTGAATGGAACCTTTTAAATAAGTTATGAGTGAGCCAAATAGAAAGATGGTAAAATAGAAGGAAAAGAGAGTAGGAATTTAGAAGCTAGTCTGATTTTTTACTTAGCTTTGTGATCTTGGGCAAGTCAATCATTCTGAGCCTCAGTTTCCTCATTTATACCTGAGAATAAAAACCGTCTCTCCTGCCTCACTTGCAGAGTTGCTGGGAGTTCCAAAAGATAATACGAGTGTGAACACATTGCATGATCATGAAGCATTGTGTCCATGACAGTTCTGTTCGGTGGCTGACACAAATAAAAGGTTTCTTTTTCTCACCTAACAAGAGGTCCAGGGGTGCCAGCCCATGGCTGCTGCAGACACCCAAGGATGACTTAAGAAATCTGTTTCAGGCCGGGTGCGGTGGCTCACGCCTGTAATCCCAGCACTGTGGGAGGCCGAGGCGGGTGGATCACGAGGTCAAGAGATCGAGACCATCCTGGTCAACATGGTGAAACCCCGTCTCTACTAAAAATACAAAAAAAAAAATTAGCTGGGCATGGTGGCGCGTGCTTGTAATCCCAGCGACTCAGGAGGCTGAGGCAGGAGAATTGCCTGAACCCAGGAGGCGGAGGTTGCGGTGAGCCGAGATCGCGCCATTGCACTCCAGCCTGGGTAACAAGAGTGAAACTCCGTCTCTAAAAAAAAAAAAGAAAGAAAGAAATCTGTTTCATATGGCCGTCAGATGACTGCTGGACTCCCAGGCTTTTTGTGGCCATTCCAGTGAGGAAGGAGGAAAATGGGCAAGAAGGAAGGGAGTGGGTACCCATGACAGGAAAGCAAAACTTTTCCGGAAATCCTTCACCAGCTTCCATATGTGTCTGCCTGGCCATCCCTGTGTCACAGGGCTGTTCCCAGTGGCAAGGGAGCCTGGGAATTTTTTGAAAGTTGGAGGCATTGTCCCCTGACACAAGAAAAGGGGAGAGAATACACACTAGTTAGACAACTAGCAGTGTTGCCACAAACATGTTGAGAAGCCAGAATAACTGTCATGGAATCGGCACCACAATTGGACTCAGATTAAATGTTATTTAAGAATAAATAGTCTCAGCCCTTTCACTGTACGAAATAGGTACCTGGATTGGCCAAGAAATATAGTATGCTCAGTCTTTCTGAAATATTATTAGAGCACATGTTTTTAACAAAACTACAGCTCTAAGAACATAATATCACCTCACCTAAAATTAGAAATTGCTTTTAGATAAAAGAAAGTAGAGTGGAGCTTAGGTGCTTTTTTCTCTTCTTCAGGGGATTTTGGAACGCCTCGAGAGTGGGGAAGTTGTGATTGGAGATGGCAGCTTTCTCATTACTCTGGAGAAGAGAGGCTACGTGAAGGCTGGCGTCTGGACTCCAGAGGCAGTGATAGAACATCCAGATGCAGGTTGGTGCCCACATACCAAGAGTGTCTACCTGAGTGGCATTTTATTTAAATCTGATGGAGGGAAGATCGAGAAAAAAATAACAACTGTTTCAAAGGGCTGTTTTGCTTGCTAAAATTGCCAAGATAAGGAGACAATAGCAGCATGCAGGCTGAACTATACGGAAGAAAATGGCCTCTCTCTTCCTTTCTCTCTCTCTCATACACACACCTACACACATCATACACCCCCACATCCACACACTCACACACACACTCCCACCCCCACACCCACACATACCGCAAACACACATACACACCCACACACCCTCATGCACACCCACACACTCTCTTACACACATACATTTACATCTTAATGTATAGGCAGTGCTAAAATATACATCTTGGCTGGGCATGGTGGCTCACGCCTATAATCCCAGCACTTTGGGAGGCTGAGGCAGGTGGATCACAAGCTCAGGAGTTCGAGACCAGCCTGATCAACATGGTGAAACTCCGTAACTACTAAAAATACAAAAATTAGCTGGGTGTGGTGGCAGGCACCTGTAGTCCCAGCTATTCGGGAGGCTGAGGCAGGAGAATCACTTGAACCCAGGAGACGGAGGTTGTAGTGAACCAAGTCACGCCACTGCACTTCAGCCTGAGCAACAGAGTGAGACTCCTCCTCAAAAATAAAAATAAAAATAAAAATAAAATAAAATATACATCTTAATATTTGTTCCATGAATACTTGTCTTGTAGATATTCAGAGTTTCCTTACAACAATAAAATTGTTCCTGCTTCCGATTCACACTGACAGTGTGCGGCTGAAGTGTGACAGTGTCTACAGTGAGGGTGATTAAAGATAGTCACAGTGTAACAGAGCACAGACAGCCAGGTTCTGGGGATGAGAGGGCAAGAAAATCAACAGAGCTTTATATCATCCTCCTGGCTTGGAAAAAAAAAAGAGCTAGAGGTAGTAACTCTGATGAGGATTAGCTACCTGAAATTAGAACTTGAATTCTCTTCTGACTCTTTCTTTGTGTTTGTTCCCCTAAATTAAAGTGGGAAAATAAAGCCAAAGAATGAAATGAGTGAAACAGAACACTAGCTGAGACTAGAACTTTTGATTCGCTCTGACTTTATGTATACTTGCACAGCGTATTAGATAAACCTAGGGTCCCATCTTTGTTCTTCCACTGACCAGCTATGTGACCTTGGACAAGTCACTCGACCTCCCCAAGGATCCATATCTTCATCTGTTTCATGAGGGCACAATATGGGCTAGGTGTGAGGACTCACGAGTTAACCCATGTGAAGTGCCCTGCGTATCGTCAGTACGATGGCCATTATGATTGTTGCATCAGACACCTTGAGTTCGGTGGTAGAGCGGGACCAAGTTTTGTCACTTTGGTGCTTAACAGGATGCTTTCATCTGGCCCGAGAAGAACTTGTTATTAATGTTAGAAGATCATTTTGCTAAACTGGGAAAAAAGTGCTGGGATAGTAACAGTAAGGATACGGGAGGAGGGGCGACGGTGGTGAAGGAGAGGAAGGGGTGACTTTCTGATAGCCAGGGAAAGCTTCCAGACTGCTTTCTGATGTCCCTAGCTGCTTCCTGCTGACTCGGTTTGATGCCGGTGCCACCCACCTACATTCTGCTTTCTATGAGAAGCTCCTCATTCTACTTTGAGGGCTGCCAATGCTGACTATAGTAGACCAGCTATGTCCTTCACAACTCAGGTATAGAATAAACCTCTCTAGACCAAGAGACCAAGGGACAAGTGGCCAATCAGGCCTTAATCTCTGCAGGTGATGACACCAAGTCATTGAGGCCCATCAGCAAAACAATACAAGGCTACTCTAAACAGTACGTCCTGCCCATGCATTCTACTGACCTTAGTCTATAACTTTTTATCACAGCTAGGTTTGAACTGAGGTATGATTGAAGGAGATGGGAGTCAGTGAGCTACTGCTGCTTTTAAAAATGATAGCTTCTGTAATATTTCTTTTTTTTTTATTTATTTCAATGTTGAAAACCCAACTACTTTGTAGTTCGTCAACTTCACATGGAATTCTTGAGAGCAGGATCAAATGTCATGCAGACTTTCACCTTTTCTGCCAGTGAGGACAATATGGAAAGCAAGGTAAACAGCAATGGTTGGGTGCAGAGGAGGGAGTCATCTATTAAAAAAAAAAAAAACCTCTTCATGGGAAGCTATAGAATTCATGTGTTACTATACTTTATCACAAAGTCCATATAAATATCTATGTTTTAGTTGTCACATAGAGATATGTAGTAAATAAGCCAGGCACGGTGGCTTACACCTGTAATCCCAGCACTTTGGGAAGCCGAGGTGGGCGGATCACTTGGGCCAAGGAGTTCCAGATCAGCCTGCACAACATAGTGAAACCCTGTCTTTACTAAAAATGCAAAAATTAGCCAGGTGTGGTGGCTGGCACCTGTAATCCCAGGTACTCAGGAGGCTGAGGCATGAGAACGACTTGAACCTGGGAGGTGGAGGTTGCAGTGAGCTGAGATTACACCACTGCGCTCCAGCCTGGGTGATGATAGAGCGAAACTCCATTTCCAAAAAAAAAAAATAATAATATATTCTAAATAAATTAGCTTTCTCTCCCCATTTAGGTAGAGGAGAGGTCAGGACTAGCAGTAAAATAAACCGTTGGAAGGGCATGGCCATCTTCCTGCTATTTTTTTAGGGAGAAAGCATTTCATAGATGCTCTTTTCACTTTCTCATTTCACATTTTTCTCTTCTGGAGACAGGGAGGTGCTAAAAAACACAACACTGGCATAGAAATGAGAAAAATTTGGTTTGATATTCAGCATTGCCACCTATGGGCTGTGTGGCTTTATGTAAGACACCTACCTGCATTGAGCATTGGTTTCTCTCTGCAAAATGGAGATAACGGTAGTGCTTAAGTCCATAGACCTGTTGAGAACAGTAAGTAAGATCAAGGACATGGAAGTATTGTGAAATACTCTGCAAATATAAAATGTTAATACATATAAATGGTAATGCCCATTAATTCATTCAGCCAACCAACACGTACTGAGTATCTGTTACAGTCCATTCTCTGTGTTAGAGTCAAAGATGAGACAAAGGTGTAGACCTCATCTGGAGGCTCAAGGTCAAGCATGGGAGGCAAACAAATAGTTATTAAAATCCAGTGTGGTAAGTACGATAATGGAAATAAAAGGTTATGGTAACAGAGGATATTGTACCCAACGCTGCTGGTCTTCTTCATTTGCATTGAAACAACTGGCCTATACTCATCTTACTTGTTTATTGTTCCTTTGGTTATCGCTTATATTTTACCTTCAAACTGCTAGCCTTGTCATCTGAACTCTTGCTCTCTAACCTCAGTGGGAAGATGTAAATGCTGCTGCCTGTGACCTCGCCAGGGAAGTGGCTGGCAAAGGTGATGCTTTGGTAGCAGGCGGGATCTGCCAGACATCGGTATACAAATACCACAAGGATGAAGCTAGAATTAAAAAACTTTTTCGACTACAGCTAGAGGTTTTTGCGCAGAAAAATGTGGACTTCTTGATTGCAGAGGTAAGCCTAGTATTAGAGGAAAAGGATTAAACCTATTTTGACAAGCAAAACTGCATTGTCTTCACATTTCATTAGGGTATTGGACTGCCTTATGTCCTCATTTCTTCCATATGAATGATCAAAGGATCATTTAAATGCATGGTAGTCAAGGCCAACATTCCCTCCTTTGTATGCTGTGTTCATTTGGAGCCAAAGGACAGACCCAAGAGAGGCCTGACCATAGCCTTTGATCTTCTAAGGTCAGGGTAGCTGCAGAAGCTGACTCGGGGGACTCTGTAACCTAGAGGGAAGCATAGGGGACAGTGCCTCAGGGAGCACCCTCTCTTGAGGGAGAAGCCAGGCAGGAGGGCACTGCATGTGTGTGCTGGGGACTGAGAGAGATGAAGGTCGTGGCTGTCCAGGCTCATCCAGGTCCCACCAATAATGCTCAGCACCCAATAGTTTCCATAGCCTCCTCCATCCATGTCTTGCTCTTCTTACCTCTCTGCCTTCACTCAAGCTATGACACACGAGTTACAATTTGAAGATAGAATCAGTAAGAATTGGTCATTGATTGGACAAGAAGGCCCAGAGCATTCTCTTCCCTCCACTTCCAAAAGGAAAGCCCTCATTCCTCATTTCCCGACATAACTGCTACTGCCTAGGGTCAAGTCCTCCACCCACATTTTCACTCCAAACAATAGCCCCTGGTCAGGCATGGTGGCTCACATCTGTAATCCCAGCACTTTGGGAGGCCAAGGCAGGCAGATTGCATGAGGTCAGGAATTTGAGACCAGCCTAGCCAACATGGTGAAACCTCATCTCTACTGAAAATACAAAAATTAGCTGGGCATGGTGGTGGGTGCCTGTAGTCCCAGCTACTCAGGAGGCTGAGGCAGGAGAATGACTTGAACCTGGGAGGCGAAGGTTGCGGTGAGCCAAGATTTCACGCCACTGCACTCCAGCCTGGCAACGGAGCAAGACTCCATCTCAAATGAAAAAAAAAAAAGAGAGAGAGAGAGAGAAAAAAAATAGCCCCACCATTATTCCTTCCAGTCACCCCACTGGACTCTACTGAAAACCCTGCCTCCTCCACCTGCCCACGCCTGGCCAACCCCACTAGGAAGAGTCATCTGCAGGACAAGCACAAACTCTGCCCTCTGTGCTGTCCAGATGGATGATGACACCACTCTGTTTAAGAACTCATCTTTTGATGATCTCTGTCATTCCTCACACTGCTTCTGCAGAATTTGTTTCTAACTCAAGAGGGAAGAAACGGGAAGATTTCTGGCTTTTCTTTAGTTGCCTTAAGGTCAGCTTTTCAGCTGTGGCACTGAAGGGGGTTCCTGGAAGCACCCCATAAGATGATGTGGGTTTACCAGACAAGGTGTCCTGTCTGAAGAAAAAAAACAGTAGCTATCTCTCCCATGAGGCTCCTCAATCTTCTCATCTGGGGAAATATTTCCCTTCCTACTTTATGGAGCGCTTATGAATATCTAACTAGAAGTGAATATGAAAGCTCTTTGAAGTATAACGCATGATAAACTACCCATTGTTTCTGAGATTACCCCAGTTTTATAAGAGATGAATCTGAAATTTATTAGCAAAACTTTTCTTCCTTCAAAATTATGATTTTAAATACTCGATTACTTTGAAAACCTCTGGGTGTGTTTTTTTCTTTTTTACTAATAGTCATCATCTGACTGAATCAATGATCCCTGACTAAAAAACTGTATCTTATTGTCATAGGAATGAAAATATTTACTCAGGAAAATATTATTTATTCAGTCTGATAGACACACATTTCTTAGCAAGTTTTATCATATGTATGTTTATATTCTATTTGGTAATTTGTATAACTGTTTTGCTGTATTTACCTTTACCATTCAAAATCTGCTTTATGTCTGGACCAATAGAAAAAATGACATTTATCTTAGTATTTTGAGCACGTTGAAGAAGCTGTGTGGGCTGTGGAAGTCTTAAAAGAATCGGATAGACCGGTGGCGGTTACCATGTGCATAGGCCCGGAGGGAGACATGCATGACGTAACCCCCGGAGAATGTGCTGTGAGGCTGGTGAAGGCAGGTAATTTGGACCCATGCAGGGATACACAGCTCAGCTGCTGTTTATGAAATTTAACAAAGTCTGATATTGTGAGAGCAGTTTGGAAAATAAAAGAATTAACGGCAATCAGTTTCCTTATCTGTAAATTGTGGGAGGGGGAGGGGGATAGCTAATCTTTAAGGTACCTTCCAACTGTTAAAGAAAAAAAAAAAGAAGAAACAAATAAGTAATAAAATGTAAGTGTTATTTCTTTGCATAGGGGCTTCCATCGTTGGCGTAAACTGCCGCTTTGGGCCCGAGACCAGCTTGAAGACGGTGAAGCTCATGAAGGAGGGTCTTGAACGGGCAGGGCTGAAAGCGTACCTCATGGTGCAACCCCTGGGGTTCCACACACCCGACTGCAGCAAAGAGGGGTTTGTGGATCTCCCAGAATATCCCTTTGGTAAGCTAAGTAGAGGTCCTCTCATAGTGGAGGTATTTCTTTGTGACAAAATCCAAAGGGCTGTAATAAACTATGGCCCAGTTGTACAATAAAACTGCATAACTGAAAATGAGCTATCGGAAGAATGCATCATCTAAAATTTACAGTTTTTTTAATTGGAAAAACTACTCATTCATTACAGCATCCATTATTCGAAAATGAGAACAGTAACAGAAATGCTGTAACTATTGTGATACAGGACTGGAACCCAGAGTTGCCACCAGATGGGATATTCAAAAATATGCCAGAGAGGCCTACAACCTGGGGGTCAGGTACATTGGCGGCTGCTGCGGATTTGAGCCCTACCACATCAGGGCAATTGCAGAGGAGCTGGCCCCAGAAAGGGGCTTTTTGCCACTGGCTTCAGAAAAACATGGCAGCTGGGGAAGTGGTTTGGACATGCATACCAAACCCTGGGTTAGAGCAAGGTAAGAATTTTTAAATTAACGTTCTTATTATTTTCCTTTAATCTCATTTTATTTATTGTTGTACATGTTATGCATGCACATGGCAAAATGTATAGAAACATATAAAGTGAAAAGTAAAAATCATTCCCCTCCTGACACCAGTCCCATACCCAAAATCGGCTTTAGTCCATTGGGCTATTAGAATAATACCATAAACTTGGTGGCTTATACACAACAGAAATTTCTGTCTCAGTTCTGGAGGCTGCAAAGTCCAAGATCAAGATGCCAGCAGATTCAGTGTCTGGTGAAGCCTTTATAGATGCTGAAGGCTATCCATAAGGAAGCAGGCATTCCTTATGGACGATGCCTTCTTGCTGTGTCCTCACTTGGTAGACGGGGCACGGCAGCTCCCTGGGGGCTGTTTTCTAAGGGCACTTGTCCATTAGAAAATGACTCTACCTCCTAATCACCACATTGGTGACTAGGTTTCAACTTATGCCTTGTGGGGGACACAGACGATCAGACCATGGCACAGAGGAAACCTGTTCATCATTTGTGCTTTAAGATTTCTTTTGTCATCAGTTTGAAGTGGTAATTATTTTAACCCTTTATGAATGCTGAGGGATTGAAATCACATAGTCTTCCCCTTTACCCCATTCTCCTTTTTCCAATTTTGATTTGTTACACTTTTATTTCTTCTTTTGGTTGTCTTTTTAGGTTAAAATTATGTATTCAACCACCTGTTTCTTAGTTTATCAGTATACGGCAGGAATCTCTTGACTCCAGTCTCTGTAAAGTAAGAATGGATTCCCTTCTGCTTCTTTCCACCTATCCTCTCTCATCCACCCCTTGGCATCTTTAAGTTTGACTATACTGTCATCAACGTTTATAACTATTTTATTATATTCTGTAGTTATAATTGTCTTTCAAGCTTTCTCTGTAGGTTGATCCTAAAAATATAAAGTCAGTGGATAACATTTACAATATTTTTATAATTGTTATATTAAACAAGCAGGACTCATGAAACATAATTAGAGCTCACATTTATTTTTGTCTCTCTCTATCCCTTTAAACCTACTCAATGGGTGAATTCCTTCCTTTGTTCCTATTTGAAAATACTGACACAATCTAGAACTTCTCTGGGTGCTCTCAGGCAAGTTCCATGATTACTTTTCTTCAGAGATAGTCTCAGTTCGGTAATCAAAAGTGTTTAGGACCAGGCACGGTGGCTCACATCTGCAATCCCAGCACTTTGGGAGGCTGAGGTGGGTGGATGACCTAAGGTCAGGGGTTCGAGAGTAGCCTAGCTAATATGGCAAAACTTTGTCTCTACTAAAAATACAAAGATTAGCCTGGCATGGTGGCAGGAGCCTATAATCCCAGCTACTCAGGAGGCTGAGGCAGGAGAATTGCTTGAATCCAGAGGGCAGAGGTTGCAGTGAGCCAAGGTTGCGCCACTTCACTCCAGCCTGGGAGATAGAGCAAAACTCCGTCTCGAAACAAAACAAACAAATAAAAAACCGTAAAAACAAAAAATACATAAAATATAAAACAAAAAATATGTCACATCAAAACTCAGAGCATGTTTTAAACATGAAGCTTCTCCCTTTGTCCAGCAACAGCCTTCCACAGGCAGGAAACCAGGAGAGGCCAGAGTGCTGCTTCTCTCTTTCTCAGTCTTATGCCCCCACCCCTCCTTTCCCATCTTGGCTTCTGGCATCCTCAGATTCAAAGTAAGAGGAGAGAGGATGGAGGAAGGAGTGAGGCTGTTGTTGCTTGCTGGGCACCCTGATAGGAAGCCGGCATCCTCTGAGCCTGGAAGATCCCTGTGAGCACACTCATGGGTCTTCAGAGGCTTCCACTGGAAACTTTTTTCTGTACTTCTCACGCCACAGGCATTTTTCTTGGACTGTGACTTCCGCTTCAGGCAGTGGCTTTCTCAACCAGGTCATTCCAGATGTACTCTGATTTGGGGATCCCATTGTGCTTCCTGGTGATTCTCTTGGGCCAGATTTTAGATAACTCAGGCTGGCTCTCTCATTTTCCTAAGGCTCAAAACACCTTTCACCCTTCCTTTCTATAGACAAGCCCTGAGAGTATGGTCTGACCCCAATTTTAACAGCACCCCTTTTGCTCACAAGCAAAGTAGCTGGCCCATTGTTCTCTTGTGGTCTAGATTTCCCAGGGGAGAGCCAGGTGAGCCATCTGGCTGGTTTGTGACCGCCTCCTTTAAACTTCTGCACAGTGTCTTGTCTTGCAACTCCCTTTGATACCTAAAATCCATCATGCCTTGGTGTTTCCAGTAAAACTTCCAATCTAACACTCTGTTGCAGAAATAATACAAAATTAATGCACTTAGGAAAACATTCACTGCAGAACAAAGTATGCATGGGACCATAGAGAAAGAGAAGTAATCCTATTTTGCAAAACTTGAGCTACTTGTTGGAGACTGTTCCAAGCATCAAGGTCAAATAATTTTCTTCTCTTACATTCCCATGGATATATTGTCCAAATCCATGCGATATTTCAATTTGCTTCATACTTGGACTGACTTTCTTTGTATTGCCTTTGGTTTTCAGGGATTTCTGATTAACTTCCTTTTTCATTGTTGAAATAAAAATAACAGTGCTTCACTTTCCCTGAGGTCTTATAATTTCTAAATTATATTGTTTGTTACAGTAAATCACTTTATTATTGAAGACATTTTTCTTGGGGCCCCAAGAAAATTACTGTTCTGCTATGGATGATTGTATTTCACACACACACTGATACTCTCTCTCCTCTATCTCTCCATATAGACATACAGTATATTGTGTGTGTATGTGTGTATATACATATACATATGTATGTATATCTGTTAATACAATTCCATCCCCCTTCTATCTTCTAGAACTAGTCACAATCTCTGCTGTCTTCTCTTTGTTCAGTACTCTCACATACTTCACCCATTTTGTGCTTATTTATTTATTTCAGTGGGATTTGAAGTTTTCAGTGGGATTTGAAAGTCTTCATTTTTGAACTGGAAAAACTTGCCGAATATAAATTTACTTAGGTTGTAAAAATAGGCAAGAATCCTTTAGCCAAACCTTTCTTCTAAGAGATATAGATATTTACCAGAGAAGACGGTTTGTGTAGTATCATACTTTTTAAAAAGTACTAAATATAAATATAATTAAAAAGTGAGGAAAGCATACTTTGGTGATGATTAAAATAGTTTAAATAAGTGAATAGTTTATTTAATGATCATCTGCTAGAAATCCTTAAAATTCATTAGCTATTAGAATTAAAACATTATTCTATAGACCAAAGCAAGAAGATACCCTTTGTACCCTGACTCCCAAACCTACTGATATTTACAGAAATTTATGATTACACAATAAACGCCAGATTTGTGACATCTCATCATCCAAAAATATTGATTTATTTGTTGTTTTGTAAGTAAAGTGGAAAAAAATATTTAAAAATATATTTATCACAAAGATCTGTGACCACGAACCTCTGTATTCTTCTTCCTTTGTCTAACAGGAAGAAACAAATATTGACAAAGTAATTTGTATTATTTTCTTAGTTACTTTTTGGGCAAGTATACTTTGACTCATCATATTAAAAACTGTTTTCATAGTCTTCTCATTACATTAAAATATTAATAGAGTTAGAATGACTCTGTTAGAAATTTCAGGATAAATATAATTCATAAAAATATATGAAATTTAGGCCTGGGAATGGTGGCTCATGCCTGTAATCCCAGCACCTTGAGAGGCCAAGATGGGCTACTGGAGCTCAGGAGTTTGAGACTAGCCTGGGCAATGTGGGGAGACCCTGTCTCTACTAAAAATACAAAAATTATCCTGGCACGCCGATAGTCCCAGCTACCTGGGGGCTGTGGGAGGAGGATTGCTTGAACCCAGGAGGTCTAGGCTGCAGTGAACCAAGATTGCGCCACTGCACTCCAACCTGGGCAACAAGACCCTGGCTCAGAAAAAGTAAAACACATCGAATTTTTCTGAAAGGTGGTATGAAACCTGATGATTGTTATTGAAATGTGAAAAAGGTCCCTGGCATTAATGGATATGGACATAGTTTTCTGTCTGTATGTGGAAACAAAAGTTCTGCTTTAGCCTGATTATCCACCAAGCTTTGACTTTGTGTGTGTGTGCTTATATACACACACATTCACATATATGCATATGACATATTGGACTTACAAGTAAGACCTTTAATTAATTAATTACGTATGTTTTAAAACACAGGGCTCGAAGAGAGTATTGGGAGAATCTGCTGCCAGCTTCAGGCAGACCTTTCTGTCCTTCGCTGTCAAAGCCAGATGACTAAGGAGTGGTGAAAGAAAATCCTGAAATAGTAGAACAGAGAAAGTTGCCCTCAAGCCCAACCTGGAACCCTTCCTCACCATGGTGAGGGTGACCTCACCATGCCCTGCTGTCTCTAGCTTCTGAGGTGCTGCAGCCCCTTCCCTTCAAGTCCACAAGTGCATGCATATTGAGCTCCTGCTGTGGTTAAGCACCACAACAGACATTACCAGAGATGCAAAGAGGAACAAGAGAGGCACCTTGTTCTCCAAGAACTTACTGTCCAATAATGCTACAGTGCATTCCTTTGAAGATCGTCAAGAATAGCCAAGCTTGTTTTCAAGGGTGAATCTGACACTTTAAAATAATCCAAAGTCACTGAGACCCAAAACTAGCAAATAATTCAAGTGACTAAGCTAGGTACTTGAGGATGATAGAGTGACACTAAACTAAAGGAATGAATCTGCTTTTCTGGATTTCTTTTTTTTTCTTTTTTTTTTTTTTTTTTTTGAGAGAGAGTCTTGCTCTGTCACCCAGGCTGTAGTGCAGTGGCATGATCTCAGCTCACAGCATCCTCTGCCACCCAGGTTCATGCGATTCCCCTGCCTCAGCCTCCTGAGTAGCTGGGACTACAGGTGTGCACCACCATGCCCAGCTAATTTTTTTTGTCTTTTAGTACAGACGGGGTTTCACCATGTTGGCTGGTATGGTCTCGATCTCCTGACCTTGTGATCCACCTGCCTCGGCCTCCTAAAGTGCTGGGGTTACAGGTGTGAGTCACCGTGCCTGGCCGAGTCTGCTTTTCTTTAATGATTTATATACTGACTCCAAAGGCAATCCCCAAAGATTCAAAGAATGTTCTGAGCAATGGCAAGATTATTGAAATAAATGTATAACCATTCAATGTGATTACTGTCTTTCTTTTTTTTTTTTAAAGACGGAATTTCACCATGTTGGTCAGGCTGGTCTTGAACTCCCTACCTCAGGTGATCCACCGCCTTGGCCTCCAAAGTGCTTAGATTACAGGCGTGAGCCACCATGCCTGGCCTCAATGTGATCACTTTCAAAGATGATTTTTACTTAAAGATATAAGGTCCGGCTGGGCTAGGTGGCTCACAAACACCTGTAACCCCAGCACTTTGGGAGGCTGAGGCGGGCGGGTCACCTGAGGTCAGGAGTTCAAGACCAGCCTGGTCAACATGGTGAAACCCTGTCTCTACAAAAATACAAAAATTAGGTGGGCATGATGGTGGATGCCTGTAATCCCAGCTACTTGGGAGGCTGAAGCAGGAAAATTGCTTGAACTGAGGAGGCAGAGGTTGCAGTGAGATGAGATTGCCCCACTGTACTCCAGCCTGGGAGATGAAGTTCAAATCTATTTTGGTCTAATATTTTCTTATGTTTGTGTTATTTCATTGTGCCAGTTTCTCTTTTACAACAATTTATCAATTTGTGGCAATAAAATTAAAAGTTATTTACCTTTTATAGTGTTCGAATGTCAAAAATGTCATGAACATTCTTTGGAATAATACTAGCAAATATTTATTACTCACTATGTCCAGGCTTTGTTCTAAATATGATCTCATGTACATATACCCCCCATCCAGGGATTCAAAATTAGATAGTGTTTAACACAGCAGTTTACAGGTAAGGAAACTGAAGTCTAATGAGGCTAGGCTTGCCTGAGGTCAAACAATTAGTAAATGTGAAATGAATACATTTTGATTTGAACCCATGGGGCTGGCTCTGGAATCCATGTCCTCAGCTACTGTATTGCACTGCATCTGTCATGTATACAGCTGCTGCTTTTTGTCAAAAATCTATCCAGATTTTTCTATCACTAGGTCCAAAGTATTTTTATCAACTTTCCTTATTATGAATTAACTCTTTAAACCTGCCATGACTGCTTCTGTAATGTTGACAACCTGGAATTTATTTGAGATAGCCACTTTACCTATAATACACAACCCCACCTTGCTGGAAATTAGAATAATTTGCCATCATCTCAAGGCCTTTGGTGTCCTTAAGAGTGACTAATCCAAGCCACCAATTAAATACCTGACTGTCCTTGCCAGCATCTTCACCAGAACCGTCCAGTCTCTGTTTGGAACCCTTAAATATAGTAACTTACTACCCCTGAAGATCACTTACTCCTTTTTAAGAAACACTTCATTCTTGGAAAGTTATTCCATATATTAAAGAGGAATCTATTTATCAATGACCTTCACCTGTAGACTTTGAGCACCCATAAAGCAAATTTATAATTTCTTCCATATAACTCTTCAAAACTTTAAAGATAGCTGTATGGCCTTCCTGTACTTACTTGTCCTCATTTCTTTCAACCAAAAGGCATAGGCTAAGATGTGCTTTGTCAAATATTACCTGTGTGACATTAGACAGCTACTTAAGCTTTCTGTCTTAATTTCCTCATCTGTAAAATGAGGGTAAAATAGAACCATTCTCAGTGGGGTGCTCTGAAGATTCAATGAGATAAGTTAGTTAGAAAGTGCATGTTGTATAGTTGGCATTCATTGCACATTATACAGTATAATCATGCTGACTTAGTTTCCAATCCCCTAATCCTCATGGTGACTGTCTTCTGGGAACACTCTGGTATCAAAGGCTCTGCTTGTTGTTAGTATCTGGTCCCAAACGCCACATTCCAGGAGAGGACTGTTTACATAATACCTCCTGCTTGCTTTATAGATTTTGTGGAGAGGGCAGTTCAGGACATGAGAATATCAAGAGTGAAGAAGGTGCATCAGGAGGGAGAGCTGTCTCCATGCTGAACCCCTTCCTTGGGTCTGCAACAGCACAAACGAAGGCTTTTATCTACTTACTATAAAGTGCAGGAGTGCTAAACTGTATAGGAGTTCGAGATCGGCCTAGGTAACATGGCAAACTCCATCTCTACAAAAAATACAAAAATTAGCTGGGCATGGTGGTGTGCATAACTATACTCTCAGCTACTGAGGAGGCTGAGGCTGGAGGGTCGCTTGAGCCCAGGAGGTCAAAGCTGCAGTGAGCTGTGATCACACCACTGCACTCCAGCCTGGGTGATGGAGCAAGACCTTGTCAAGAAAGAAAAAGAAGGAATAAAGATAGGAAGAAAGGAGGGAAGGAAGGAAGGAAGGAAAAGAGACAGGGAGGGAGGGAAGAAGGAGAGAGGAAGGAAGGAAGGAAGGAAGGAAGGAAGGAAGGAAGGAAGGAAGGAAGGAAGGAAGGAAAAGGGAGTGAGGGAGGGAAGAAGGAGAAAGGAAGGAAGGAAGGAAAGAAGCAAGGAAGGAAAGAAGGAAGGAAGGGGATATATAAAAACATTAAATGTATGAACACTCACACAAAAATACTCTAAACAAAGGCAAATAGGAAAAATGTGTAACAGAGGTCAGCAACCACTCTTCCAGTAAAGGGGTCTTGAGCTGCTTTCATTGAAACCTCCCCCACCCATGCAGATGCTGTAAGGGGGGCTCACCTATGCGACTGGCATTCAGAACCCCACTCCACCCCATTTTCTTAGGCTTAAGGGTGTTATGAGAGGGCAGTGTACCCAGCTGGGACCAAGCAAAGCCTTGGGGTCAGCACCAGCATCATCACCATCAGCCGTTTTGATGATCACCATTCCAGTGTAGGCTGTGAGGCTGTGGATCAGGTGCCCTAGGAAGCACAACGCACCTCGTGGAGATGATGTGAGGGCCAGGTCGTTGAATCTGCAGGTATTGACACAGAGCTCAGACAGCTTCTGAGCATTCACAAGGTATCTCGTAACGTGGTACCTGTCAGCCGCACTTGATTCTTCCCTTCCCAAGGAGCAGGTCCTCTTTCTTGTTGGGCAACTTCTAGGGATGGAGTGCCAGCTCCTGTGCCCTGCACATGCCCTTTGTACTGCCTCCTCCCCACCTCCCTCGATGCCCACAACTATTTAAGGGTTTCAGAAAAACCCTCTTTTCTTCTTCATCTGTTATTATAAAAGGACATCACGCCAAAAGTAATAGGAAAATGAAATCTACTTTTCTCAATGGCATCCTTATTAGAGGTGGGGAAATATTTGCTTTATATCATTCCAGTGCTGGGAAAAAAGGGTGGGGGAGACAGAATAACACATTTACAGATTGAAGCAATAGGAATGCTAACATCTGCCACACATATTTGTATACATTTGGTAAACTAAGGGATACTTTCTTTAATCTACAAATTAAGAAATAATTACCTTAATCCATTAAATATAGAAAAAGATAAAACACATTCAATATTAGGTAAATGCACAGCAAAATGACGAGATACCTTCTTTCATCTATCATCAGCTAAGATCAGAAAGTGGATAATATCTGTCATTGAGAGTGCAGGGGAAAAGACTTTCTCATACGTATACCTTTTGTAGAAGTGTAATCTGGTACAAACTATTTGGAAAGCAATTTGTCCATATTTACAAAATTTAAAATTCACATGCCCTTGGATGAGCAATTTTATTTCTAGGAATATAGCCTGCAATTATGTTTGTATGTATGCAAATGTGCATGTCTGGAAACCACCTAAATATTCATCAATGACATATTAGTAAGTGAATTATGGAACATCTACAGGGTATTAAAGCATGGTGTCATTACAAAGAAAACATTAGATCAATATGGGCTAAGATGGAAGGATCTCCTCCATATATTGTTAAATGAAAGTATGCTTCCATTGTGTGCACATAGAATATTTCAGGAAGGAATATTTCCCTCCTAGAGGAAAAAGACTGGTGATTGAAAGTGTGGTGTAAGAGGAAGACTTCCTTTTCTCTGATACCCTTCTTTGGCGTCTAAATTTGTTAATATGGTTTGGGGTATTACTTTTTCTACAAAATAAATTAGTTTAAAAATGTATGTCAAGATTTCTGATTGCAAGGGGAAAAATCAGATAACATGAGTTTCCTGTTGTGATACAGAATGGGAAATGCTACATCACGGATGACATATACCAGCCAAAAGTGTTGGGGGAATCTAATCAAGCCTTTGGATTTCACCTCCAATTCAGTGAAATCAAGGGATATAGGAACAAGATAAAAACCACAATCAGGTGAATTCTGTATTCTACAGGCCGGCTGGGCTGGTCTTTTCCGCAGTTTAGCATGTTGGGGCTGCTCATCTTTATATGACAAATCAATAAAATGCGTGGTCCTGGCTGGGACAAACTAGCTATAAAAGGTCTTTTGTGAATAATTGGGGAAATTCGATTA